CTTGTGCAGCTAACACCTCCACTGTCCCACTCCTCAGGAGTGAAAGGCCTGGCTTGACCCTCCCAGTCTTATCAAACCTTTTGTCTGGAGTATTCAAGTATGTAAGCCCTCAAGGAATAGTTATGTGATGTTTTTGCAAAACTAAAGCCATAATAGAATGGAAAGAAAAGTAGCTCTTCAAATGTCTCCTGCAAAGTTTTACATGTTGCATTAAAACCAAACTTTGTCCTAGGATAATTAAGTTACCCTATTTTTAAAAAAAATTTTAATGTTTATTTATTTTTGAGAGAGAGAGAGAGAGAGAGAGTGAGCAGGGGAGGGGCAGAGAGAGGGGGAGACACAGAATCTGAAGCAGGCTCCAGGCTCTGAGCCGTTAGCACAGAGCACCACGCGGGGCTCAAACTCAAGAGCCTTAAGATCATGACCTGAACCAAAGTTGGACACTTAACTTTCTGAGCCACCCAGGTGCTCCTAAATTATCCTATTTTTAATATTTTCTCTCAAAATTTGATGGCCAGAAGAGTGGAATTCAATTAGTTTAATTTTTGTAACTCTGTGTCTCAAAATTGGGTAAAGGTAAATTTGTGTTAAGATCACTACATAATATATTATGTATGCTAATATATTGCCATGCTGTGCTACCTCTGCAAAACAGTTATTTGTATTCCTGGTTAGGGGCTCCTGGTGCACATTAATGAGACAACTGGGTTAAATAACTGATAATCAATTTTCCCGACTTTTCTTTTGGTGTTTTTGTTTTACAGAACATAGTGATATACCAATGAGAATAATAAAAAGAGCATTCTAAATGTTAAGCAGTGAAAACCAGGACTACATCACTGCACTGTTAAGTTTCCATGTGTGATTAGTTTGTCTTTCAAAGTAATATATATTAGCTAAGTGGACATTTAAGACCTTAGAGTAGGACTTATTTAAATTTATTTTGAATGCTTTCAAATGCATTTTGTTTTGCTTTTTAAATTGCACTTCAGTAATTACCAAAAAGAAAAATGAACCTAATTCCTTTATCATGACCTTCATCCAGAATGATAAACAGTATTTAACATCAGGAAGGTCTTCTTTAAAAGCCAGTATATCAAATGACCGACTTCTTTCTCTGTGTAGAAGTTATATCTCAGCATTAAAACATACTCTGAGTCCCAAATAACCCTGAATTATCTAAGAAAGATGAAAAAGAACTAAATTAAAAAAAATTTTAATGTTTATTTATTATTTTTTGAGAGAGACAGAGTGCAAGTAGGGGAGGGGCAGAGAGAGAGGGAGACACAGAATCCGAAGCAGGCTCCAGGCTCTGAGATGTCAGCACAGAGTCTGGCATGAGGCTCAAACTCACAAACTGAGATCATGACCTAAGCCGAAGGTGGATGCTTAACCACCTGAGCCACCCATGTGCTTCAAATTTTTCTTTTAATATTTTGAACTGATCTTAATTTTCAAAATACTATTCCAGTGTTTGGAAGATACTTGTGGTGTGTGAATTGCAGCAGTTTACATCTCTTTCCCTTCTATGTAATTATGTTCTTTATACCAAAAATGTGTAAGTATCAGCTACCAAAGCTTAAGCCTCTTGAATTACAGAATGAGGTTATGGCCATCATGCTTTGAACTCACACCCCAGGGCACGTGCTCACTCTTGTGCCCTCTACCTCGGATGCTATGATCCATGGTTCCCACATGTGTCTCCACTTAAAATAATCTGGGGGTTTAAAAACATTCCCAACCCCAGACTACATCTCAGACCAATGAAATCACTTGCCTGGGACACAGTTTTTGAAAATCTCCAGGTGATTCCAGCGTGCTGCCATGTTTGAGAACCCCCGCCTCAACTAACTCATTCCTTGGCAAACTTCTGTTCATCCTTCCCATCTCAGTTTATCCTTCTCACCCAGACAGAGGTCTGATGCCCACCTGAAGGGCCCAGGCCTTCCCACTATGCCTCCTGCATATCCCTAGCCTGGCAAGCATTAAAGTATATTGTAACTGCTTACTCACTTGCCTGCTTCCTCAAACACTGTAAAATTCAGGAATATTTTTACCTTTGGATCCCAGAGTCTACCCCTGTGCCTGGTGTTTCGAAGTACTCAATAAATTCATCGAATGAATAACTTCTTCCTTAGAAAAGCAACAGCACAAATATAGAGTTATGTCAATATTTACATGCCATGGAAAAAGTAGAAATTTAAGATGTGCTCAAGGTGATGTTTCACTGATGGGCAATGTGTCATATTTAGGAAAACATCATCCCGGTGAAAATAGAACTATACCTAAACATCAAAAAGAACCACAAAATATAACTTTACCTATAAATTTGCATTCTTTAATAAGTGCAAACAAAATGTCTTGCGATAAGAAATATTAAAACAACCCATCCTTTCTCAGTTCCACCTCCATTTTGAGTGGACTGTTGTTTTCCAAAGCAACCCTTTCAGAAATGTATGTTTCGGGGGGTTATAGAATGGTTTTTAAGAGTTTTAAAATACTTAGTTTACAAAATGCATTGGGGCGCCTGGGTGGCTTAGTCGGTTGAGGGTCTGACTTTCGCTTAGGTCATGATCTCGCGGTTCGTGGGTTCGAGCCCCGCGTCGGGCTCTGTGCTGACTGCCAGCTCAGTCTGTGACTGTTTCAGTCTGTGACTCCCTCTCTCTCTCTGACCCTCCCCTGCTCACGCTGTCTCTCTCTCTCTCCTAGAAATAAATATTTAAAAAAAAACAACAAAATGCATTATGTAAGAGTATATGTTTATTGGTATTCACTATTAATATGATCGTTACGAGTCAAACAATATTCACATAGTAAATTTTGCTACAATCTAATTCTAGACAATAAACCCAATCTTAAACATACATTTTTTTAAAAATCTGTTTAAAATATTTGGCTCCTTGGGTTACCTAATTATTTTATATTGCAGCAGTGTTTCACAATCTAACAATATGTTGTTCTTTTTTTAAAAAGTTTATTTATTTTTTGGGGGGAGAGAGAGAGAATCTCAAGCAGGCTCCGCACTGTCAGTGCAGAGTCGGATGCGGGGCTCAGGGTTCCAACTCATGAACTGTGAGATCAATGGACCCAAAATCAAGAGTGGGAGGCTTAACCCACTGAACTAGCAGGTACCCCACAATATGTTCTTTATCTGCTAGATGCAGAGAGCATGAAAAGAAATCAGATTTAAGAACTCTTTTCCAAGATAGTAATGTATTACTCCTTTATCTTGTTTATCTTATGAAATGCTGAATTATCTCATTAGACATCAAATTAATTTAAGATCTTGTCAACCAGTGTTCACTATGGACTCATTCTGAATGCATCTAAAAAAGTGAGAGAAAAGTGTGATCCACTTTTAAATGCCTACATTGTCATCAACTACTGTAAGCCAATTTTTAACCTTACTCTGTTAATTAAATACAACTAATTTAGAAAACAGTCATTGGAATGTAGCTCTGGTCCTCTTTTCCATTATGGAATCATGACTTTAAATGCAATATCCTTAGACACTGCTGCTTTGCTTTATCAGAAATAAGCTCTGAAAGTATAATCAATTGTGAAAAAAGATTACAGCTGCTTCTAAGATTCAGTTCCAGTGCCATAGTTCCCCCATTGTAAAGGCTGTGAATGAGGCAACTATTCCAAGTTAGCTTCAGCCCTAATGAACACAAAAGTGAATCTCTTTTGCCAAGCAAACGAGGCACACAGACAGGCATACTTTCAACCAGTATCAGCCAGCTTTACACATTTATGTTTGGATTAAAAGATCAGACCAATTTTTAAGTTGGCTTCTGTAAGCATACATCTGATTTTGGGTATTGTCTTCTCAGGTCCTCCGCTGCTGGTGTTTTCATCCATCTGTCAGACCCAGAAACATATACACCCCATCACTCCTTTCGTGAGGGGTCCTGTAGGGCGTTACTGCCACCACTGGCCAGGGGTCACTGGGTCAGCAATCAACATGAGACCTAGGAGGGCAAAAGCCCAGGAGGTGGGAGCACCCTGCATCAAGGGCCTGGGGACACGGTGGAGGCTGGGTCTCTCCCTTGGCTCCAGTTCCCAGCGGCAGGTCCTATTGGGCGCAGGCTGACCAAAGAGGCTTAGCTCTTTCCCAGAGCCAGCAACTAAAGGTGGCAAAGAAGCCTCCAATCTCCTGACTCGATTCGTAATTCCGCAAAAACATCCTCCAGGGGCCCTTTGCATCACCCGCTGCGCTCTCCAGCCACCTTCAGGAGCGGGCAAATAAATTTTCTGAGGGGTCACGGACACTAAAACCACAGCAAATAGAGGCTGTGTCTACCTTTACAACTGGAGGGACTCAGCGGGGGAGGCTTGGCGGCCGGGCTGCGCCCCCTCCATCCAGGATAAAACCCGCGAGGGCGCGGCGTCCCGAGGGGTGGGTGGGCCGGTGGGTGCGGGACAGAAGGCCGGGAGGGAAGCTAGGAGTCACGAAGCCTCCTCCGCCGGGATCGCCTCCTCGTTGAGTGGCCTCCACTCCGACGTTCAGGATTAGTAAAGCGATGCTCAGGCCAAACAGCCACCCCCGCCCAGCCAGACCAGGCTCGGGAGGAAGCGTTCTCGGGGAGCGAGGCCGAGCGTAGGAGAGGGCCATTCGGCCAGAAGGGGGGGGAGCTGACAGTGTCCCCTCCCGCCTCCGTCGCGCGGGGGAAAGGCCTAGAAGGCAGGGGTCCACGTACGGTACCCTTCTGCGCTCTCCTTTCTCAGGGCCCGGGAGGGGGCGGTTCCCTCCGCTTCCTCCCACCCTCGAGTCGCGGCACCCCTCCGCGGGACGCTTGGTTGGGTCCGGGGCGGGGCCGACAGGCGCTCCACGTGCGGCCGCGAGCCGGGCGCTCGGCTCCCGCGGCCGGGCGGCCACCCCCGCCACCTCGGGGCGGGCGTGGGGGCGGAGCCTCTGGGGGCGGGGCGGGAGGCGTGGGCTGGGGGCGGTCCGGACGCGGAGCGCTCGTCAAGCTGCCGGGGCAGAGGGGCTGAGAGGAGCCGGGCTGGCGCGGCGCAGGCAGGAAGGGACGAGGAGCTGAGAAGAGTCCGACGCCGGGTGCTCCGGGCTTTCTGCGAGGTATGAGCGGGAGCTCGGCGCTGGGGGGCCTCCCAGTCCGTCCCCTAGCCCGGCCACCGCGCCCCGGCTGCCCATTGTGCCCCCTGCCGGCCGGGCGGCGGCGGCGGCCACTGGACGGGACTTTGGGAGGGTTTCTGGGAGTCGAGAGCCCCAGCCAAAGCAGTGTCTTCCCTGAGTCTTTCTTCGCCTTCTTTTTGCTTCCTCGGCTCTGGGCGTCGGGCACCGGGCTGAAACGTAGCCTCTCCGCGGGTCAGAGCTCGCCCACGCCGGCGCGGGAGGACGGGGCCCCGGGGCAGCCGAGCCAGGCGGCGGGGGAGGCGCGGAGCTCCGGGGCCGCCTTTGCGGCGAGGGCCGGAGGCCGGCTGGGGCTGCGGGCTGCGCCCCGGGCTCACGGTGCCGCGCTCGGCTCTCCGGTGGTCTCTGGCGCGCTGTTCTGGGGTCGCCTGTCGGTTGCGCCCCATCGGTCGCGACTTGGACGGGGCGCCGGGGCCAGCCAGTGAACCCTACATTCCTGGGTGTTCAGCCGCCTGTTGTGCGCGGGCGGGGGGCGGGCAGCCCGGCTGCGCGAAGGGACCCGAGAGCAGCGTCTGCCCCACGGTTCCTGAAAGTGTCTAGTCGGGGAGCCGGAGATTGAGCTGGGGCTCGGCGGCGCCAGAAGGGGGCCTCGGTGGGATGCGAGTAGGGGGCGCGGCCTGCAGAATTTGGGTTCCTGGAGGTGCTTGCGGCGCGCAGGCCCGGCCCCGGGCACAAGAGACCACCAGCCTGTCCTCGAGGAGTGCCAGGAACTGTCACGTACGGACCGCTGGGGGCCACCCGTGTGAGATCCACGGGGCTTGTAACAGCACCTCGAGTCCTGGGACAGCGTAACCTAATGGGGAGGGCGTTTTCTTTAGGGCATGAATAAATGGAAAGGTGTCAAAAGAAGCATATTTTAAAGTTGAAATGAAAACTGGCAGATTTTTCAGGCCGTGCAGTTGTGAAGTTAAGTGTCCAAAGAAATATTAGCTCCTTTACACCCTTTTCGTTTTTATTTTTTGGCAAAAAGCTGTTTTGCCAGAATTTCCCTCAGGAGCTTTGCATGGCCCACAGTGGGGCAGGAAAACTTCAGCAAGCGTTCTCAGGTTGCTTTTGACTTCAAGCCTACGCTCTCCAGGTTTTTGGAGTGCGCAGAAAAAGTATCTGATTCTGTCTCTTTTTCTCTGGGATCCGACGATGTTTGTTTATTGGTTTTATAAGCATCTATTTAAACGTAGTTTTTGCACGAAATACTCCCCGTTGCCACAGGGTGTAGTTTAGGGATTAGAAAATACTGTTGGAGAAAGCTGCTAGTGGCTTCATTTTCCAAGAATGTAAGTCATTTCCTTTCTGTGATTTCAGGGAGTTGATATTTCACAGCATCAAAACTTTGTGGGGAAAATTTTCCGTAATACATCTGTCATTAAAAAGGCTTTTGACTTTTGGATTTTGTCTTCTTAGAACAGCACATAAATTTAGGCTCAGCAGTGTTAGAGGATAGGAAGTTTTTCAGAAACTGCCGCATTCTGAAAGTCTTGTAGAAAGTAATTTTAACAACCACCAAGACTTACAAACAGCCTGCACCTTAGAGAGTGGGGGAGGGGAGAAGACCAGAGGAGAGAGGCAGGAAAACAGATGCTTTTGCTGTTGTCCTTTGTAGTATAAAACTTGTAGCAGTTAATCATTTTCCTTGGGTGGGGTTTTGAGAACTAAAAGTATTATGTTAAAAAGGAAAATAGCCCACAATATGAGACAGCTGACATTCAAATGCTCTTTCCGAATGTTTGTAAATATATTGGATTTATATTTCATATTAAAATAGACCTCTGGGATCATTTGATGAGAAGGGTCCCCCAGGGCATATCTTCTATCAAGTTATCTCCAGGATATCTTCTCCAGAAAGCAGACAGACTGTAATATGAACTAATTTTCCCCCTTTTGAATTGCTTGTAAAAATGCCTGAGTTCTGACACTGATGGACCACAGTAATCAGCAGTTCTTGCAGAACTCAAAACATCTTAAGAGAAAGGAAATCTTTCTGTATTTCCACGGTCTCCTTTTTGGGGGGCAGCTGGGGTAAGCGACCAGCTTCGAGTACATAATTTGAACTTGCTGATTTAAGATGCTCCCAGCTCTACAGTAAAACAATAGGAGCAAGGATGAAGACACTGCTGTTTGAAAGCCAAGTGCCCATGTGCTAGGTAATCATTTCTGGTAACAGGTTCTGTAAAAACTCATTCAGTTGGGCCAGCTGAACCCAGGGAACGGGGGTTGTAGAGCTTTTCTGTTTCTGGACTTTGTTTTCACTTTTAACTACACTTATAAAGCCTTTGGCTTTCAGAACTTATGACATAATAGACTGTGTAGCCTTTTGTGGCAGATGCTTGAAATGAAAGTTTCAAACAGAATCGCTTTTGACTGAACTGTCAAGTGCAGAGTTTAGTGTAAATGAGTCCTGTCTCACAACTAACTTTTTTGATAAAGGAGTTCTTTGTAGTTTTCAGCTTGGATGCTGCACATTTTGATTTCTGAGACTGTGGGTTTAAAAAAAAATAAAACCTGCAAACAATTATTTTATTACATGAAAGCCAGTACCAAGAAAAGATTAATTCAGTCCAGATGTAAAAATGTATGTGAATGTTAGATTTGGATGATCTCAACAAGTTTTCCCTTTTGTTGATGAAACTGCCTGGATCCCAGATGGCATTCACAAACTGTCCCTTAGGTGGTTTTCTGAGTTCAGAACTAAATTTCAGGGGCCTTCTCTAAAGTCACTTTAAAATTGTTTTAAGCATTCTAGAAGATAGACATTTTTCTCTCTTTATGCAGAGATGGGTTTTTCCTATCCCACATGGATACAAACTTTATAAATGCCCTGGTTTGGTAAATGAAACCTGTGTCTTTCATAAGTAGGAAAACCAGAGGTATTCAGCATTGTGTAACCTTATGAACAAAACATAGAAATGGTGGCTTTCGTTTATGCAATTCCAACTTTATTCTCTTTTTTAAAGTATTTATTTACTCATTTATTTATTTGCTGGGAGAGCATGAGCAGGGGAGGGGCAGAGAGAGGGGTCAGAGGATCTGAAGCAGGCTCTGTGCTGATAGGCTGTCATCATGGAGCCCATTGTGGGGCTTGACCTCATGAACCGTGAGATCATGATCTGAGCCAAAGTCGGATGCTTAACCAACTGAGCAACCCAGGCACCCCAATTCCAATTTTATTTTTTTTAAAGAAAATAAAGAGTTTTAAATGTGTTCTCAGTCTGTAATGAATCCTGTTGTAACACAGTTTGTGGTTTCTGATAAAGCAGTTGGTCCTTCTTATAGGATGATCCCTCACCAACTAGAAAGAACAAACACAACTTAGAAGAAAACTCCAGTACTTTAAAAAAAAAAGTCTGTACTTCCAACACTACAGTTATTAAGGGTGTGTGTTGCACACGTAAAATTGTATATTTTTAAGAATTCTTTGATTATATAATTACATATTTAGGAGTTTGGTTACATTGTGATTGCGCTTTAAACAATTGAGTGTAGGATGGGGGAATAGAAAGGAAACAGTGATGGAATTTTATGAGTGGCGAAATTTTGGTTAAAACGTATCTTTCCTAAAACCCAGACAGGAAAAATAGTATTGTTGTCCTCTGTAGTTAAAGTTTGATATGAGGGGTAGTTGAGAGGTGTTTTTGAATTGCGTATTACCTGAGGAAGAGACTTTGGGGGCCTATAAAAATAAGTAGAAACAAGTTAAAGGAATAATTTGAGAGGAAAGAAGAAGTAGAGTACTGGACAATGAGTTGCAAGGAAAATCTGAACTTCGAAGGATGAATATTTAAAACAAGGCTGAAGTAGGTAAAACATTATATTTAAAAATGGCAATTAAAAATAAGATCTTTTTAGCAGAGAAAAAAGGATTCCTCTTAAGGTGCCCTACAAAGCCTGGATACAGCATGAAATGGTACTGTTATGTTGTACTCATTCTGGAAAGCTTGCATGGATTTGTGTTGAATTTCTGCTTTGGTGTTAAATAATGTTTAGGGCCTGGAGGCTTATTATTGTGCCCCGCCTCCACCCATGCCACTTCTCATTTTGAAGCTTAGAAACCTTTTTCGTCTAAACTCTCATGATTCTACAAATATTTCATTATTCCCCCAGCATTTGTGAGCGCAAGAGCCTGCCTGCCATGCTGTAGGACCAGAGGGGCTCTACGCTGGTAATGGGCATAGTTACTATAAAATTTCGAGTAAAAACAAGCTATCAGTGCTTCCAGATTATCTGATATGATTTGGTGGTGTAATTACTTCTGATGCAAGCTTGTCTGATATCACTCTGTATAGGTATCAAGTGGAGCAATCATGCAGTATACCATATTGATCAAAAAGAGATTCTAGAACAGTGGGAATGGGAAAGGAAAGAAATCACTGATCTGACATGAAGAATTTTCTCAGGAGGAGAAAAATGTAGTGTTGCATCAAATTCACATGAACAAGTTACAGGCCAAAGGAGAAGGCAATGTTGACCTTGGATCTGTGTGTAGCACAGTGTTTTCTTGAATGCCTTTTCCCACCCGTGTGGCCTTTCCTGGCAGAGCTTAATCTACACAGCAAGAAATTAAGAGATTTTGTCATTATCTAGTTTATTTCATTAATGTGGTAACTGGGATAATTCTGACCAAAACTGTCTATTTAGAACCTCAGTATTCCTAATTGATTATCCGGGGATAAATTTTCAGCTGTTTTCCAATAACCCTGCCTTTATACATAGATATGACAGAACTTTGAGCAGTAACGTTTTACAGGTACATGAAGACAGAGAGAAAAGCAATTACTTTACACTATCTTCTAGCCACAGTTTCATGTGAAGGAGGAAATGATTATAAAAATTTGGCAAATTCTGGATGAAGATTTTACGAAATTAATGAAAGGCTCACTTAGCCTTTTGGGTAGTTCTTTGTGTAGTTGAGTAATTATTTTTCTGCCCAC